TCTCTTTGAAAGATTGTTCTTCCATTTAAAAATACAACAACGACTGTAGTATTAACATTCATTCTCTATCACATTTGTCCTTGATTTTATAAAATCAAAAGGGCTTTTGGAATTGATTAATAGAAAGAATTATTTATTAGGATTACTGTGGTTGTTTGTTTATTAAAACAAAAAAGAATGTGCGTGTAAGTTAAAATTTTTAAAATTTTAAAAAATACTTCATACAATAATATATATGTGCAATGTTTTAAATAAAACAAAATAAAAAAAAAAGAATATAAGAATAAAAAGAATAAAAAAGAAAAGGGATAAGAAGGGTGATAAATTTGGTATATTCGAAAAAAGAGAAGTAAAGAAAAACATGATTCTAAATCGACTCCTGTTATTTTTTTTTGACAATGATAATTAAATTGTTTGTTTGTGTAAAATAAATAATAAGCAATAATTACACACGACATTCATCATACAAACTTAATCATTGTTTTTGAATAAAAACTTGGGAAACAACAACATTGATAATTCCTTTGATATTCTTCCATTTAAATTTTTAACGTTTATTAAAAAATATATTTTGCCACAAATGTGGTTTCCACGAATAATTTTTGTAACGCACCCGGGTCGATTTTTATTTACAAAAGATGTAATATATATATGCATGCAGTTATCTTTTTACTTATATACATTTTAAGATTTTAAATTAGGTGATTTGATTATTCAGATTACTAATCTGTATCCCCAAAAGAAATTTTCCCATCGCTCTCTATAAAAACGAAAGAAAAATAATCATGAAGATTTATTATTTAAAAAACAATCTACTATATTCCAAATAGTATTACTAATCCCATTAGTAGTATTATTATCATCATCCAGGAAATCAATTTCATCCAATAATCTATTTTTCAAACTTGACGTTCTAGGCAGTGGTAGTATACTATCATCATAGTTATTGTAGCCATTATCCCCATAATCATCTTCATAGTAATTATCATAATAATAATGTTCAAAACTATCCAATTTTCTAGTTAATTCTTTCAGCATATAAAGAATGTACAAATATCCAATTAAAGTTACCAATAATTCTGCAAATATTATGGTTTCAGGTTTAAATTTTGTTTTTTTTGGCATAAATATTGATGGTGGTGGTGTGAAAGGTGTTGGTATTGGCATTGAACATTGTGGTGAAAGATTTGATGGTGGTGACATTGAAGATGTTGAAAAGATTGATAATAATGATGATAATTTTGAAATTATTACTAATATTGGAGATGTAAGTATGGAAGAATTACTTTTTGTAGACTTTTTCAATTTATTTGAATTTGAATTAATATTTGAAGAAGAAGCAGAAGATTGCTGTTGATCAATATCATTTGTATTTTTATGTTCAGATGGATGATTATCAATAAAATTTTTGATTGCTTCCTCCAAATCTTTATAATATTGTACTTGACCAACAATTGATGCTTTTTCAATCGTTCCTTTTAACCAACAATTTTTAGTAAAGTTTACCGCGCAACTAACAATAATTCTTACTCTATTTCTGCCTGCATACATCAAACAAGTTTTTGTCATCACGACGAATGAGTCGCCTGATGGAACATCCGGTGTACTGGTCGATGTTAACAATGTCGTGTAACTTTTATTAAAAATGAGAAAACGAGATATGAGGTGTGTGTGTGTGTGTGTGTGTGAAGAAATGAATATATATATTTACCCGGTAAAATCACAATGAACCAATTCATCCTTTAAGTGTACTTTTGTTGTCTTTGGGCCTATCTTAAATGAATTGGGAAATTTTTTGGTGTAACTTCCAAAACGAACTCGTTTACCGTCTTCTTCAACCCATTCACCGATGTTTGTATCTACATATAAAAATATAACGAGTTTAATAAATTATGGTTAATTAATAGAAATTTAACAAATAGTTTTTAATCGTAATTCTTACCATCATTATTTTCATGATTTGTAATGAAGTCAGAGAAGAAATTACTTGTGAATAATAAATTATATATTTCTTCAATTGTACCAGGGAATTCAGTATCTAACACTATATGTTCATAATGTCGATTATTCTTCAAACATTCACAGTCGGTTTTATTTTCACAATTGTTAATTTCATTATCATTATTGTTATCAATATTATCATTGTTACTAGAAAATTCTCCAGATTCCGGCCCACTTATGGATCTAGTTGGAATGGATGAAGACGCTGCAATTGTTTCTCGTTTTCTATTTGACAAATTTTTTAATTTCGAACTAATATTTTTTGTTAAGCTTTTTCCTATCAAGGAACAATTATTATTAATATTGGTATTTATTTTTTGCAAAAAAAAAATAACAATTATTTAATTAGTTACTTTTTTCGATATCACTGCATTCATTTTCTGAACCAACAATTGTTGTTGTTCCTTCTTTCTTCCCACAACCATCGCCAAGATTATTTTCTTCTAAATCCATTTTTTCTTTATTTTCAATTTTACATAAACTAACTAATAAATCGTAGACACTATCACGCGATAAAAATGATGTAAAGAAATACTAAAGGGGGGGTTAAAGTTTGTTATATGAAAAATTCTCAAATGAATTTTATAAAAAAAAAATTTTTCGAAAATTTCACAAAATTCTCACCTCCTTTGAATCTTTTGTAGTGATCAATATTGCATTTGGTATAACAAATGCAGACATTTTTTTCTCAATTGAAGCGATTTCAGACATTGAAATTATCTCATTTGTCACCCATCCAAAAATATTTGCACAGAAACAAATATAATTTTTCGAAACATAAATCCTTCCGTGTGCCAATATTTCTCTTTGCAATGCACATCCATAATCTATATTATAATATATAAATATGTTTTAAATTGATATATACTTTGTATATAAAAGAATATCACAATATATTCATATTCTCGCATTTCTAATCTTTTTATATATTTACCGTTGATTAAAAGTTCAGTGTCAGGCAATGAATTAAAGTAATTATGAAATTCTTTGTTTTTTTTGCAATTGGCAACGATAGAAATATCATCACATATATTATCATCTTTAATAACGATTGAATTGTTGTTTGATCTGGGGCGAGGAGTATTTACTACATTTTTAGTATACTTATTATCACTATTACTATTTTTTCTAACCAGTCTTTTTCTATTATTACGACTTTTCTTGATTTTCAATAATTTATTGATTTCGTTGGGATCGATATTGGATTTTGAACTCGAGTTTGGATTGTTGCAAAACGAAGAATTTATATATTTATTTATTTATTTATCTATTTGGTTTTTTTTAATTTTGATAGTGTGGTAAACCTTTCAATGAGAAAAATGTTGTTGTGATAAATCCAAATCCAGTAGAACAAGAAAAATTAAGGATAGCATTAGTAGAAAAAAAAAGTAAATCTAAAAAAGAAAAAAGGAAACAAAAAACAGAACAAGAAAAAGCTGCCACTGTTGTAGAACCATCATCATCATCTATTTCTTCTTCTTCTTCTTCTTCTAGCGATAAGCAGAAGCAGCAACAGCAACCACAACCACAACCACAAGAAAACAAACGCAAACGTGATAATGAAAATTCTAATAATGTTCTTGCAGAGTCGTCGTCGTCGTCGTCATCACCATCAAAAAGAATTGCCATTATTCAACCACAGATTGGTGATGGTGGGATTGCATCTTCTGTTACAGCAGCTGTTAATCTAAAAGTACAGGAACATTTAGTTGTAGCAAATACAAAAGCTAAAAAATCAAAAGCCATTCAATCAATTTATGCAAAGAAAAATGATGATGAGAATAAAGTGTCTGAAAGTTATTTGGTTAGAGGAACATTTAATAGATATGCATAATTATTTATTTAATTATGATCCCTGGAATCTGGTTTATTTTTTTATGTAGTAATAATAACAATAATAAATTAATATTTCATTTTATCGGATATCAATTAATTAAGAACAAGTAACAAATTTTTAATAATATATATACACATATAAAGAAAATTTTCATTATCCTGACCATTGTTTATTAGTTCTAAAGCTGAACTTTGAAAATGTGCTGGTAATGATGATTAACTTGACGGGTAATGATGATGATGATTGATTATTATTACTATTAACTAAAAGAATTCATTTAGTTTTTGATGACAAATCATCATCAAAGAATTTTATTAATTTAAGATTTAAAAATACAAAATCAGCCATCTAATCAAATTCATCGAATTCACAAGTATCAATTCCGATTTCTTTGGCTACTCCTCTAACATACTCATCAACACCCCCCTCCAATTCCTTAACCATATTATTTTTAACAAGATAAATAGTATCACATACATTTTCAACAAACCATCTATCGTGACTAACAATCAATACAGCTCCTTTAAAATCTCCAATCACCTTTACCAAAGTCTCAACCGTCAACATGTCTAAATGATTGGTAATTTCGTCCAATATTAATAAATTTGGCGAATTATAAACTTGTGATGAAAATGCTACCCTGGATTTTTGTCCTCCCGATAAAGATCTCATTGGCCTGATTGCTAAATCACCACTTATGCCAAATTTACCCAAGTACGACCTTGATTCACTTTCTGATATATTGTATTTCTCTCGAAGGTGGGTGTCAGCTGATATTTCTAAATCGAGCGAGTCGACAAGATTCATACATTCGTTCTTTCTTTATTCGCTCGTCTTGTTGATTCTTCTCATATTCGTCATAATTGCCAGTGTGATAAGTTAATTTCGCGTCTTTAAGCCTAATAATTTCGGTCACTGTATTATTTAAAAATCGTCTGTCATGTGATACTATTATAATTGTTGTATCGAAAAGTGTGTTCAAATAGGATTGAAGCCACAAAATCGCTGGTAAATCTAAATGATTTGCTATTATTATTAAAAAATATATATTATTAAATTATTCGTTAAATAAATACTATTGTAAAAACCATCTTATTGTTATTATAATATTACTAGGTTCATCCAGCAAAAGAATATCGGGTTGTAAGAATAATGCTTGTGCCAATGCCACTCTCTAAAAAAGTAAATCGATATATTTAAATACTTGAGAAAAATCACCAAGTAAAATGTTCGCGAATGCTTTAATTAATTACCATCTGCCAACCTCCTGAAAGCGACGATAAAGACGATATTGGTGAATGTTGTAATTTATCAGAAAATCCTAAACCAACTAAAATTTCTTGTGCTCTGGCCTCAGCAGAATCGGCTTTAATCTAATGTTTTAATAATAATAAAAAAACTAGCTATAATTAATCATCATCATCATTATTATTGCTATCGCTACTATTGAAGAGTACCTGGTCGAGCTTTGTATAAACTTCTTCGAGCATTTCATGAATTATTGCTGTGTAATCTACACTTTGATCTTGACCCAAACTTTTTAATGCACTAAAAAATATAAAATCACATATAAATACACGCATATAAATACAGACACATATAAATACGGTCGTATACAAACTTTTGAGCCTCTTCAACTTTAGCCTCGACGTTAACTAAATCTTGTCTAGCATCAAGACCTCTTCTACCGCTTCGTTGGATTGCAATTTTCCGAGAAAGATCTAAATCCATCTGTAATTTTTCTAAATTAACTGATTTAACAGCGAATTCAATTTTTTTGATTTCATTAGATTCGATTGCATTCTGTAGAATTTGTTTCTCGTGCAACAATCTGGTTCGTTCTTTGTCAGCCTTAACTACCGTTTCTAAAACTGTCGTCTTTTCTTCGACGCTTTCCAATTGTTCAATATACAAAACACGAATATTTTTTGGAAATCCGACAAGTTTATTATAACCAATAGATTTCAAAAATGCTATGAATTTAAAAAAAAATTGTTCATTTAATGATATTATCTAATAATGTTTGATTTTCTGTTTTCTTTCTTTTCTTACTTGATTTTCCTACACCATTTCTTCCAATTAGCCCATAATGAACTCCTGTCTTGAATTTTACATGTGCATCCACCAACAATTCTTTATCGCCTACAATAACATTGACATCTTTTAAATCAACCTTTAAGTTTATAAATAATATTATTATTATTTAATTATTTTTTTATAAGTAAAAAAAAAATAAATTAAATAAATACTTCTTTGGATAATGTTTCTAACGTCTCAGTATGAAATCTTGATTGTTGGGAGTATGCGACAACTTCTTCTACTGCAGTTTTCTTGCTGTCATCATTAGTGCTAGCAGTATTGATTAATTGTTTCTTTGATTTTTTGTCAACATTACTATTAATATTGTTGGTGTTAGTTTTCGTCTCTTTGTTAGATATCTCCAGCTATATATATATATATATATATATATATATTGTAGAATAGATAGATGCGATAATTATTGAATATTAAGGTTTTGTGATTAATAATAATAACAATAATAATAATAACAATCACCTGATTTATTTTATTTAGAATTTTATTAGATAATTTTTCTAATTCTTTATCATTATCGCTATTTTTAACGATATTATTAGCAGCTAAATCAATATAAAGTTTTTCAATGTCGTTTTTAGGAATTCCAGCATCAACCAAAAATTGTTCGGTAACTTCTCGTAAATCCGTTTCGTTATTGTTGTTAGAGTCTAGGTCATCAATTAAACCTGTAATATAATCTTTAATTTCTTCACTGAATTCAACTGAAGAAGGTAATAAATCAAAGAATTTTTTAGATAATAAAGACATTTAATTAATAAACTTTTTATATGTGTATTAATATTAATATACAAAAATTTGGAAAATGTCAACGAAAGGTTTATTTAAATATTTTTAAAAAAGGTCTGCGGCTAATAGTGCCAATTAATCTAAAAACAATCAAATGTTACATTAATATCAACATCATTATTATAATAAAACACACTTGATTCATATCCCTTTTTAGATATATAAAATTCAGTTCAAATGTGAGAGAGAATGAATGTTAATACTACAGTCGTTGTTGTGTTTTTAAATGGAATACCAATATCATTATCATAATAAAACATACTTGATTCATATCTTTTTTAGATATATAAAAATCAGTCCAAATGTGATAGAGAATGAATGTTAATACTACAGTCGTTGTTGTATTTTTAAATGGAAGAACAATCTTTCAAAGAGAAGAAGCACTTTTTCTAAAACGATATTGAATGGTATTTATGACAATCATGAAATAGCACGAAAGCTGATAAATGTTCATTACTAATTATATATATATCACATGAACTAAAAACTTATCTCTGATTATTAAGGAATAGTATCGTGAATTATCAATATTTCTAACCACTGTTCCGTTGTTTTACTAGAATTGTTTGCTTTTATAATTATTTCTTCTCCATCATCTAGAGTTTTACGACTAACACACATATCATGACAAATTAAATGATTTTTATAATCTGACTTTAATACTTCATTAAATGTTGCTGCTTTTAATATTTTCACTATTTTTCATTTGCCTGATTTCAATAAGTTAGCTTTTATATTAAACAATTGGGCCCGAGTTTGCAACTGATAGTCTCAGGACAATAATCCCTACATCATCGCATATTCAAAATGTTACTTCTGTAACAGTATTCTGCCTTGACACCTTCTTATGATTATAATAATATTATTAATATTGATTACAAAAAGTAAAATATTATCAATGAAAATCTTGTAATTACCCAACAATGATCTGCTCCGCATTTTGATTTCCAATTAAAATGTTTATAATAAAATAAAAATATCAATACAAATAAAAAAAAGTACCTCTGGTTAGTTATTAACACATTTTCTTTAGGAGACCCAAACCAAGCCAAACCAAACAACAACACTCACGTTTTGTCACCTTGGACTCTGTCAAAAAATAAATTGTTTTTTGTTTTTCCAAAAAAAAAAATAATTAATATGTATGTGTCGATCAAATCACAAGCATCTTTTTTTTATTTTTATTTCATAAACATGTCATTTGAAAAAACAAGAAAAGAATTCGTTGTTGATGTTGCGGGTAAGTGTTTTAAGGATGGCGGTGGTTATTGCCCACCACTCATCATTACTCTAGTTTATTTATAGTATTCAGTTATGGGACATGAAGAATTACGAAAATAAAGATGTTTCAGTTAACCAAGGAACATGGAAAGTGGAGGGTCTAGTAAATATGATCCAAAACTTGGTTAATCAAATTGTTATTGCATTAAATAACAAAACAAAATCAAAGCAAGACAATATTGGTATGTAAACAAAACTGATACAATTTCATCGATAGAATGCTAACTTGATGATAATTTTTAGGGCAGAACGTACCTTATTTGCTTCTTTTAGAAGAAAAAATGATAAAAATATAGTATGGTTTTGGAATTGAAATACACATTTGTTTAAACCTGAATCTAAATAATAAATCTGACTAATTTTATATTTGATCCAAATAGTCTACTACATACCTTATCAAAGGGTCAAACCAAAAGAGGACATCTGGTGGATTATAATTTTACATTTCGGATAAATGAAAGTATATTGGAAGTTTTTATTTGTGAATTTGCAGGTGGTCCATGGATGAAGGTAAAAGAAAATTTGAATCAGACACATTTAAGCCTTGTCGTGAGTTGAAAGATGCATATCATAACTTGATTTACCATTTTATTTAAGCACCAAGTTGTTTGACAGATGAAATTGTTAGTCTAATGATTAATCTAAGAGTATATGGAGGAATTTCAAATGGTATGTTTTATACTTTTTAACAATTTAATCTTAATTTCAGTTTCACATTTAAAAATATCATTCTAAATACTCAGAATTCCAATTTGTGATTTATGCATTTGGTATAGAAAATGGAGTTCCATGGTGTTAGAAATTTAGTCAATCATAATTTTGCTTGACTTTTGAAAGCAATTGGATGTTTTTCTGAAGTAACTTCCTATAGTATTCCAAAATGTTGGAATGAATCTAAAAATTTAAAAAACATGATAGAACATTGTTGGAGGTTTAAAGTTTTTTTTATTTGACTTTAATTCTTTTTTTTAATTTACGGTAACTAATAAAAATCTTCAAAATAAACCTTCAAGATACAATTGACCTCATTTTAAAAATTCAACGTAAATGTGAAGCCATGAAACTAAGCTCTGAAATTAGCAATAATGTTTCAAGTTATCTTCAATATTAGCAGAAATCAGATCTGGAAACTGTCTCTATTCTTCTACACCCATAAAAATAAATAAATAATACAGTATATTGTGAAAAAGTAAATCTGCAGATTGAAAAATGTACTGTGGTAATACCTGTACGTTTCATGTGTGTCTGAATAAAGTTAAAAGTTTATAAGTATAAAAATAAATAAAATGTGGATTGGAGTATGGAGGGTAGTTGTGGGGTTTTCCTGGAACATTGGGTCTGGACCACCCCCATGTATATTGTATGTGTGGTGGTAGGTCGCAGTTTAAAATACGGGTCCGTAAGTTAGATCAAGTTAGTTTTAATTTCTTCTAATATAAATGTATAGATATATGGGGCATGGACAAATAGAAAGGGACCAAACGTCAAAATCATGATTTTGAGAAAATCAAAAAAAAGATTTTGACCCAAAAAATTGGAAATTGCATATCATTTCTATATTCATGACAAAAATCAGGGGCTATTTTAATAACTATATATATAATAAAAAATAATAAATAATAATAATAATAAATAAATAATAAAATAATATGGGAGTTGGACTAGGAAAATCGACCCCTCAGCATTTGTTAC